CTCTATTTAGATGACACTTTTCGAACTGATCAACACTACTTCCAAAACATTTGCATCTTTGACAAAATTTCATGTTGCTATCCTATTATGTTTCTGCTTCGAATGAAAATAACTTAGCGTTCAACTGAGCTTCCAGCTGCTTTTTAAAAAAATTCAGTGGAGGATCATTCTTGTCCCTGTAATAACTAGTACAGAGTTGCAAAAATCACTTTCCTTACAAAACCAAAACTTTTGTTCCAATTGCAAAATACTTCAGCATATAGTTACACTTATCGTTAATATATCGATCGATGCTGTACGTGTTCCTTTTAACTGTCTAATTCCTGTTTGATGTTTGAGGAAATTAATTCTACAATTCCACTGCATTAATAAAGTTGCTCATGTCATGTGTTGCAGATGTCAAAACCAAAACATGTCATGTGGAAGATTAGCTCCTGATGATTGGTCTCTTGATCAGTGAAAAATAAATTACAAATTTCATCATGATGTGCCACTTACTCCACAGTCTCACGTAGTGCGGATTACAGAACTCCACTTTCTCTTTTCCAGTAACAGTCAGACGCTTTTATCGGCGAAGTTTATTTGGCGTTTTAAAAGCTAAAAATGAATCTCACAACAACAGCAGCTAAAACTAGCTCAGAGAACGCGACTATTTCATCAAGAAGTGTTCCTTCCAAGGCAGAAGGCGTCGCATTGTGCGCCGCTCTTATTTTGTCATTTGCTTTTATTGTTGTGGAAACTTGCTCACCCTTGTTCTATTTGCAGCTAACAGGAGCGTTCGTAAGAGAAGTTTGTTCCTAGTCATTAATATGGCGTTTGCTGACCTGATGTTAGGAATCCTGTCGCTACCTATCTACATTTACAATGTTGGGAGAAGTTTTCAACTTTGGAACGATGGTTGGTCGATGTCTTTGTCAGTTTTCTACACGATCGTTGATATCTTTTCCTCGCAGGCGTCGTTAATTTCTGCAGCTTTCATATCAGGCGAAAACTTTTACGCCATTTATTGGCCGTTTAAGTACCGAACACTGTAAATGCGAGCGTACCGTATTATGATTTTTACTGTGTGGGCACTGACTCTGCTTATCGCCACCGTCTGGAGTACATCATTTTTCCTTACTTCCTACAAACGCGCTTTGTATGTTTGGACGCCGTACGTCTTGATTCTAACATTCATCATATGTGGTTGTAACATCGGCATTTGTAGAAAGTTTAGGCACGGAAATATCGCTTCACAACAACCAAACAGAGACTCTCTAAACAAACGATTAACGAAGACCTTGATGTTTGTATCTTTTCTTGTCTCGCTGTCGTGGCTCCCTTTAGTTATTTTCAACTGTTTAATCTATGTCTATGATGTCCAGATACCGTGGAAATATTATCACCTGGTGAACGTTATAATAAATTTCTCCAACTCGTTTGCGAATCCAGTTGTGTACGCATTGAGAATACCCGAGTTTAGGAAAGCCTTGGCGTTGTGCTGTTTAAGAAGGCCAGCGGCGTCAAACTTTGAAATAAAATTAACTAGAAATGGGAAGAGTCTTGCTTTGACGCCGGCGACAGACCTAAGAACATTACGAACAGAGACCAGTGATCTTCAGTTGGCATTTGAACAGGAAATGATGGATACCAAACTTTAGAAAGCCAATGCTGGTGTAGTAGCGTATCGCTTGGATAACGTTCTTAAGAGTATTGCGCGTACATCTGATTTAAAACTACTGCTATCTTACAATATAATATTTTGCAAAAGAGATCATCAGGAGGCTGAATTCATAGATTTTGACTCTTACTTTCTTTAGACAACCCTTAACCATAACTAAAACACTAAAAAATCTAACCTGATACAGGACCATGTCACAATGTCACAATTAGACTATTGAACACAGGCAAAAATGATTTCTTAGCTTGTTTTGTGGGACTGCCTAACCGACAATGATTCCACTTAATCCAAACATAATTCTGCGGTTGGTAATGATGTGGTGCAATTTCGATGCCCCTTTCCCTACTGATCACACTGATTCTGAGACAACTCAGTTACTTCTTTTACAAAATTTCATGGAGCTGTTTAACTGCGTTTTTCCTTCTCGTGAAAATAATTCAGTGTTCTGTGAGATTCCGGCTGGTTAAGTTGTTTGATAAAGGAACAGTTCTGTTCTCTCATTTACAACTAGAACAGGGCTGCATTTTCTCATGCCTTGTGGCTACAATGACACCTTTCTACAGAAGTTTTTCAATTTCAGTGCTAATAACATCCATTTCACATTGTTTTACACACTGTAATGGAGCTTCCTTTTGAAAAGGTACAGATTGATATTCAATACGTAGGCCCTGAACCACACAGTACTAAAGTAGATCAATTAAAACGAACACGTACCTATTGATTTCTATGTTCATTGTCAATACACCTTGAGTTGATTTTAATGATAATAATAACCGTCACATACACAAGGCGGTCTGAAAACAACGAAGCTTAAATTGCGTAATCCCATAAAAATAAAATCGTCCCTTTCACTCAAACTGTCTCTGTATTCAGGGCACAACTGGGCGCCATCTTGAATTTCAATGCCAGACCCTGAATATAACGCTACCGCGAAGCAAGCCTGCAAAAGTAGAAATATAAAGAATCAATATCTCTCTGTAATACATATGGTCACCGAATAAAATTCAAATTGATTTCCCCCATAAAAAAAAAAAAGGTAAAAGGTACTCTCAATATAACCAAGGTGTGATCTTTCCATCGGTTGCGTGAAATTTAATTTATTCGTAATTTAAGTTAAAGATCAATTCTTTATATCAGCCTGATATATGAAATCTCTTCGATGTTAGCATACCCAAGTGTCTGGCTACCGAAAAAAAAATGTAATATGATTGGCCACACAGGCAATCAGAGCGCGCCTCCTGTATTTTTGTAATTATACATGGTATATTAAACGAAGCGGCCAATAAATTACTTTAAGTAACAATATTTGTTTAGTAAAACATCCACTGGGTTATGCAAGAACATTTAAATTGCACATTCTCGGTTTCTATCGGCTTCAATGGCAAGGGTGAAGAGTTCTTAGTCAAAAACAAAAGTTGGACACCCGTTGAAATGAAGTGAAACCAGTTGAGTTAAAGATTATTACCCAAGCTAGGAAATTCCAATATTTTCTTATCTAATAAAACTTACTTTATTTTCCAAAGTCAAATGATACGTTATCTCCAATCAGCATAAATGGTGCCCAGTCGCAAACCCTGTCAAAGCCGTTACCTCTCATCCATTTCATGGCCTGGTAAAGAGATTCACTGGCACTGTCCCCACGAACAAGATGCTCGTAAAAACGACACATCAGTTGCTCCGTTGCTTCGTCACTTATGGCCCATAGAGCCACCAAAACGGACCGTGCACCGGATCCTAAGAACGCTCGAGCGATTCCAATGACTCCTTCGGCTCTAATCTGTCCACGTGCACTATGACAACAGCTAAGTACCACCAGTTTAGCTCGCAGTTGAACTTTTGCAATGTCAGATATCGTCAATAGGTAATCTTCTTCTTCTTTGATCCTGTTAGGAGAGCTAAAATGAGAAAGGACAATTTCTCCTCTTTCGACGTTACCATGTGCTGCAAGATGTATCAGACTCACTGAATGTAACCTTTCAAGTACCGCCTGTTTTGTTGCGTGCTGTCCTAACAAAGGTTGAACAGCTAGCAGTCGTCCAATCATGGCTGCTTCTCTCCCTGCACAGGTTAACCTAGAAACGAACATTTCCGTTCCTTTGTAGCGCACCCACCCGACGTCTGGATCCCCCACTACCAGTGCACCAGTCTGACTGTGATAGTCTGCTGGACTGTCCTGAATGAGCTGAAGGGTAGTCAAAGAAGGAACGATGCGGATTCTGAATTTCTCTGATAAATACCTCCGGCCTTCATCCGTTAACGCTGGAAATGGAACTTGGTTTAAGAAGCGATCAGGAACAACAATGAGCTCAGACTCCTCAAGTAGGTCGGCTACCGGATTGATTAACATTCTGTAGTACAAAGAAAGGCTAGATTCGGAGTTTTGACTTTCTTCAACTCCTTCCTCTACAAGTCTCAATAATGCGAGGCTGTCAACGTCATGTAAGGATTGATCCTCGCAATCTTCCTCGGTTAAAATACCAGAGTTTCGAAAGCTTTTAGCGAAGAAATCATCTAACATGCCAACTAGTCCGGTACCAACTAGTTTCTCATCTACTATTATTCTTCGGAAATGAATGATTCCACTTGTCTTGAGAACCCAGAAAAACAAATCTTGACCATGATAAGAAATGTACAGACAGGAAGAGTTACTTTCTTTTTTCATAACATTTTCAATACCAATCCATGATTGCGGATCAGCTGAGATTTGGCTTTCAACAGAATACTGAGTTGCCATCAAGTCTGCTAACGCTCTAGCCCGTGATAGTTCTAAAACATAAAGGGCATGGTTCGGATATGCCCAAAAACAAAAGAATGCACTAAGATTCCGGTAGGGAAAAGCGCGAACGTCTGAAGACGATACCTTAAAATCGTCGTTGTCCCCTAAAAAACTTCGTAAAGATTCGCTTTTGTTCATACACAGAAACAGACAGTCAAACGCTTCCTGGATCTTGTATTGGCATAATTTCACCATTGTAAGAAGGCAAAGAAGTTGAAACTCTCTGTCTAAGTTCTGGATGTCTCGAGTAATTGACAATGCCTTTTCAATGTAACATTCAGCCATGACATGTTTACCAACAGATTGATACAATGCTCCTAAATTTCCGCAATCCGCTGCTACTCCCTCTTTGTCACCAATTTGTGTTCTGATGGCAAGTGCTTTCTCAAGATAATCTTTAGCTTTGTCATATTCACCAAGGCATTGAAACACAATTCCTAAGTTCCCATAACAGCTGACTTCTCCCTGTTTGTCACCAATTTGTATGTTGATGGCAAGTGCTTTCTTAAGAGATCTTTTAGCTTTGTCATATTCACCAAGGAATTGAAACACAATTCCTAAGTTCCCATGGCAGATGGCTTCTCCCTGCTTGTCACCTATTTGTATTTTGATGGCAAGTGCTTTCTCAAGATAATATTTAGCTTTGTTATATTCACAAACAGATAGAAACACACTTCCTAAGTTTCCGTAATCTGTTGCTAGTCCCTCTTTGTCACCAATTTGTACTCTGATGGCAAGTGCTTTCTCAAGATATTTTTTAGCTTTGTCATATTCACCAAGAGATTCAAAGACAGCTCCCAAGTTTGCGTACGAACTGGCTTCTCCCTTTCTGTCGCCAATTTGTATCCTGATGGTAAGTGCTTTCTCAAGATAATCTCTAGCTTTGTAATAGTTACCAAGAGATATAAGCACATTTCCTAAGTTTCCGTACGAATTGGCTTCTCCCCTTTTGTCATCAATTTGTATTGCGATGGCAAGTGCTTTCTCAAAATATTCTTTAGCTTTGTCGTATTTAGCAAGAGATTTAAACACAGTTCCTAAATTTTGGTGATCTGCTGCTGTTCCCGCTTTGTCACCAATTTGGATTCTAATGGCAAGTGCCTTCCCAAGATGTTCTTTAGCTTTCTCATATTCACTAAGAGATTTAAACAAAGTTCCTAAGTTTCCGTAAATTACTGCTTCTCCCTCTTTGTCACCAATTTGTATTCTGATGGCAAGTCCTTTCTCAAGAAATTCTTTAGCTTTGTCATATTCACCAAGAGATTTAAAAACAACTCCCAAGTTTGCGTACGAACTGGCTTCCCCCTTTCTGTCACCAATTTGTCTTGAGATGGTAAGTGCTTTCTCAAGATAATCTTTAGCTTTGTCATATTCACCAAGATATTGGAACACAGTTCCTAAGTTCCCGTAATCTGTTGCTACTCCCTCTTTGTCACCGATTTGTATTCTAATGGCAAGTGCTTTCTCAAGATGTTCTTTGGCTTTGTCATATTCAGCAAGACAGTTAAACACAGTTGCTAAGTTTCCGTAATCTGCTGCTTCTCCCTCTTTGTCGCCAATTTGTATTCTAATGGGAAGTGCTTTCACAAGATATTTTTTAGCTTTGTCATATTCACTAAGGGATAGAAACAGAGCTCCTAAGTTTCCATACGAATTGGCTTCTTCCTTTTTGTCACCAATTTGTATTGCAATGGCAAGTGCTTTCTCAATATGCTCTTTAGATTTGTCATATTCATTGAGAGATTGAAAGAGAGTTCCTAAGTTTCCGTAATCTGCTGCTTCTCCCCTTTTGTCACCAATTTGTATTCTAATGGCAAGTGCTTTCTCGTAACATTCTTTAGCTTTGTCATATTGAGCAAGAGATTGAAACACAGCTCCTAAGTTCTGATAACAGTTAGCTTCTCCCTGTTTGTCACCAATTTGTATTATGATGGTAAGTGCTTTTTCAAGATACTCTTTAGCTTTGTCATATTCACCGAGACATTGAAACACAGCTCCTAAGTTCTGATAACAGTTGTCTTCTCCCTCTTTGTCACCAATCTGTATTGTGATGGCAAGTGCTTTCTCAAGATACTCTTTAGCTTTGTTATACTCACCAAGAGATTGAAACACAACTCCTAAGTTTCCGAAATCTGCTGATATTCCCCCTTTGTCACCAAGTTGTTTTCTGATGGCAAGCGCTTTCTCAAGATATTCTTTCGCTTTGTCAAATTCACCAAGACATTTAAACACAGTTCCTAAGTTTCCGTAATCTGCTGCTATTCCCTCTTTGTCACCAAGTTGTATTCTGATGGCAAGTCCTTTCTCAAGATGTTCTTTTGCTTTGTCATAGTCACCGAGACAATAGGACGTTATTCCAAATTGTTCAACAGTGTATGCTTCATATTTTCTATTTCCCATTTCTTTCATGATTTTTATGGCTTTCTCATAAAGCTCTCTTGCTTCTACGTATCTATATTGCTGTTCGCATATTTTGGCCATTGCTATTGCAAGGTTTCCTTCCTTGTCTTTTTTGCTACACTTGCGGTAAATTTCAAGAAGTTCCCTTCCGTAGATTAAGGCTTTTGTATAATCAGGGATAAGAAGATACGCCCTGAAAATAGTGTCATAGATGCAAATGTTGAATAAATTGAAAAGTTCTCCTCCCGTTTTAAGCACTTCATTATTTAGGAAGATTAAACATTCTTGGCAGACCTCAATGGCTTTTAGACCACGACCAGTGTTGAGAAGGAAAGTAGCAACAGCTAAGCCAATAGAGATGGCTTGTAAAATGTCTGTTATATTGTTCATAGCGTCCTCTTCTGTGAGCCCTGTCAAACGGATAACACAAATCAAGACTTGTAGTTATTTCGAGTAATAATATACTTTTGTACGTCTTTCTACCTAGCTGTTTAAGCAGGTAATGGCGAATCCAAAGCTGGGAATAGCCCTGTTATAGACTTGCATTTCGTCATAGGGGAGCATAAATAGTCCCAAATTAAACACGAGGCCGTTGGTTGAGTGCGGTAAGTTTTATTTGCGTTTGTGAAAACCGTTGTGTTGATCATTTCAGGGTAATTCGTTTCCTAGAGTTTATAATAGAGCTGCATTTGCCTTTTTTCATTTTTTCCTGCAAAAAAATTACCGTTTAAGTTTAGGCTTTTTACAAATCTTTCCTTAAGGTTACTGTAGACCTTCGTGTGTGCCTTCCGGAAAATGCTTTCTTTACGCGCTGCTTTAAAGAAAACCACGGCAAACTATGTATCAATGTAAAGCTAGTAAACTGTAGATCCGAAAGTAGGAATATATTTTGCTATTTCTGTTTTGACAGGCACGCGCAAGCCTAAAAATGCAAAATGATCGTACTTGCTAAACCGAATTACCAGTCTTTATGTTACTGCGGACATCCAAACTGACTAGACATTATCAATTAGGAAATGATGGGCTAACGAAATGTGTGAGGCTTTTTCGATATTTCTATCGTTTGGTTAGGAAATCCCTCAATGGGACGTCACAGGAAAAATATTTCGATTTCCGCAAAAGTCTCGTACACTTTGGTGCGCTAATATCTGACGAACATTTTTGTCAAGTTTCATTAAAATCCGATAAATCTACATACCCTATTAATACATTTGAAACACGAGAAAAATGATGAAATTACGCGCCCGTTGGTTGAAACCGTCATGTTGATCATTTCAGAGCAACACGTTTCCTAGAGTTTTTATTTTTTTTTTCTTTAATTAGAGTGGCATTTGCCCTTTATATTATTTTTACTTACTTTTTAATTTTTGTTTTGTTTTGTTTTTTCGTTTTGTTTTGTTTTGTTTTTTTGTTGTTTTTTTTGTTTCAGTCAAATTTAAAGCCGGAAGAATGTTTTGAAGTAGCATTAATATTACCTAAGCAAGAACGAGTTCCAACAACATATCACCCCTGGATTGATTGATCTTTTCTAAAGCTGGCCTAAAGCTGATATCACCAATTTAGGGAAACAGAGGCTTATATTCAAAATAGGCAGATTCAATTAATTCATTACCGAAAAAGGGATAAAGAGAAAACAGCATTACTATTTAGTTAAGGGACACCTCAACAAAAGCAAATAAATCGAAATCAACAAAAAACAAATGAAAGGAAATACCAAATTCAAAACATGCGTATTGGCAGCGAGGACGTATTTTCCACTGATGTGTGAATGATTTTTATCGAATGTGCACGTTAAAGTCTCTTTTCTCTTTTCTTTTTTGCCAACTCAGTTCTCCCAAGTATTCTTATGACCTTTTATTGATCCCCAACAACTTTACCAGAGTTATGTCCCTCACATTCTCTGCTTTGGCCCTCTGATAGAAATTTGGCCGAGCAGATTTCATCAGATCGGTAAACATATCCGAGCTCAGTGACATTTAGATGTTTGTCAAATATATATCAAAACTATGTATCTGGTGTGAGACTGTTATGTCAAGTTTTGCTTAATCTGCTCAAATAACTGTGATAGTTTCACTATTTCATGTTTTCAGGTTTTTCCAATCATCGAACTCGCAAAAGTCTCCCTGTTTTTCATTGAAAGTGCAGAGCAACTGTGGACAGTTTACGTGATGATTTCAGTCCAATATGAATAATAAAGCTAAAACTGATTTGCACTCACCACTGTTGCTGAGTCACTAGAATGAACCAAAAACTAATGTCCACCGACAATCCTGTAAAAATTGTAAAGAGGGAAACCCTAAGGAGATTATTACTCCACAACGGTACCTCCAAACAATAATTAAACATCGCTTACATATACATGTTTTATGTGGATGAAACGGTATCAATCACCATCAGCTTAAAGTTTAAAAAGTTACAGCGTTGAGTCCCCGATCATCGGACGGAATTAAATCAACAGTGATGAAGACTGAAGAACAAAAACAAATGCAAATTGAAATTCAAAACGTTTCAAACCTTGCCAAAATAGTGGAATCAAAGCACTTCTTATAAAGTATCTAACATCTCTATTTTATTTTTGTTACATACTGACGACAAAATCCAATGCCTTTAAAAGCATATTGCGTTGTTGACTATACTTAAAAGATTGAAATGATTATGAAGCCCGACAAAGTTCTTTGTTGTATGTTTTTGTTTTCATTTTGGTCTTGACCATGCATTAAGCACAATAGGTGATTATTTCTCTTTCATAGACTATATGACTCAACTTAAAAGTTTCGGTTATGTGATTTATGCACATTACATATGATCGCAAAACGAAAGACTGTTTACAGTCGTGGACCTTCCACAAAAATCGTGGCATCTTTGTCTGTTCTTTTGAAGTTTGACGAGCTTTAAAACTATTTCAATCTGCTAGCTATGAGTTGACTGATCTATAAATTTACATTCCTTGCCTCCCTCTTATAGAAACTAACTGACTTGCTCACAAGACGAATACGTCATATTTGTTACATGCGAGTGCACATTTCATAATTTTCTTTGCATGATTTCATTGATTTCCTTCTGCCCCCTTCTCATGGGGACAATATGAAATCACAGAACTGAAAAAAATTCCCTTTCTTACAGCAAACGATTAAGTTTGGGATTAATTATAACTATCATTAATTTTATGCACTGCAGAAAAAGCCTTGAATACGAGTTCATAAAAAGATTTTTGGTCCAAGAGCAACCGCAGTCATTTTGAAAATTTTCCATCCTTTCAAATATCCTGGACTTGGAGTGATGNTGAACAATTTACTTGTCTGATACCTGTAATTTCTGCAAGTTTTAATGTGCAGACATGTAGCTAATGAATATATACAAAGTAAATGCAAGACAGTCTTCTTTCCAGTGATATTGATTCATAAGACAGTGTTTGAGCCATACTTACCGAAAGACATGAAAATCTGCCACTGATGGATTGGTTTCTATGGCAGTGGATATTTTAGAGAGAGCTTCTTTGATTTTGCCCATTAGATGTAACTGTATGGCCTATGAGAGAAAAGCAAGCTAAGAAAATCAATAAATGATTTCCAGGACAGATCTAGGCAAGGTTCACCTGTAATACTGTGCCCCCAGCAGCATGTATCTAGTGGCCACCCACTTTTACGTACCCTCCTACACAGTCAGAAAGGCTCATCACTCAATCTCTCCTCCCCAATGAATGTCTGCTGAAACAGTGCCTATTTAAGAGCCCTTAAAGACTACATGTATATTTCAACTAATGAAAAACATATATTTACATGATTTGTAAGGACACGTACATGTATTTTCAGTCACGATCAAATTCAAATACTTGTACAGTGTATATAAAACAAGTCAACATTGAGAATTGATAACTTTTTCACCTGTTGTCTGCTGTCCTTTGCTTTTTTCTCAAGTGAAGCCATCAAAGTTTTAGCTTCTGCATTCTCAGGGGCAAGAGCGAGTGCATCTTTAGCATCATAGTAACAGAGAGTTGACTAAAAATAAAGAAATAATTATAAAACATATAAAGAGTTCTCTTACCATAAAATAGTTGAGTTTCACTTTTTTTAAATTGTACAAGTAAAATTATACTCCTTTTAAAATGCTTCCAACTGCTCCTTGAAATATGAGATCCCTTATTTTTTTGGTGCTGACAATTTACTGGTTCCGACCATGATCAAGGTCAGTGTCTGTATTGACTCTTTCAAATATACATATACATGTACAATTGTATCAATCCATTCATTGTGCAGTACCAGAAAATATCCATACTCCCCCCACAGAAGGGATTGAAATTTCCTGGGGGGTGGGGGGATCTCTTCACGCTAAGAACAAAAAATTTAAAATGTGAAGTTTAATAGGAATTTCCAGAGGGGTGGGGGGTCTTGGAAAAAATTCTTTCTGTGGGGGAGGTATGGATATTTTCTGGAACTACACATTGCAAAGAAGACTATTTACAGGTGGGATACATGTTTGTAAGTCATCAAGAGTCTACGATACAGTATTTACGTGTACATGATTGTATTAGTTACACTGTCGATGTTATGTTAGTGACTAGCCACCACTAATTTGTACTCTCAGAACAAACTTTTATTGGACAGAAATCCTGCCCATTCAACGATGTTGTACTCACATTACGGAAGAGTTCATGTAGTCTTGCTCTCATGATAAACAGGTCTGGGTTCTCAGTTTCTTCTTCTAGTCTTTTATTTACAAGTGCTAAACATTCTCCATGTCTCTGAAGGGCAGCCAAGCAAGCCACGCTATTAAATCCAAAAATTATCAAACATAAATCATTACGGTATAATAATTATTAATAAGTTTCCATAACACCAAAAAACATATTAGGAATACAGTGTGGTGAAAATAGTAAACTTGGAGCCCTTGGGAAGTGTTACTGCATGGAATCTACAATTGCATATATAATTGTATATAATTATACACCATGTATAATCTACTCCGCACATGTATGGAGTATGTGTACTAAGATCGATAGTCTGACTTTCACAAATGCTTAAGGGAAATGTTAACTTCAAGGTCAGTCACATAGAAGGCATGTACATGTACTAGCCATGGCTCAGAAAACTCTGTAGTATTTGGCAACAACAACAACAAAAAAACCTGTTGCATGTTGAATGCTGGAGCACAGCAGACACTGCAGTGTCACAGTCAAACCTCCACTAACAGCCACCTGTCTCTACAACGGCCACTTTTTTGTCCCAGCATATGGTCTATACATGTACATTCACTCTTATTTCAACCTTTCCCAACAGCCACCTCTCCACAATAGAAATGGCCACTAAAGTGCATCCCAACAGCCAAAATAACCTCTTGACCATTAACCATTGACTGATAAAGGATGTATACCAAAACCCATTTTTTACTGCGAAAGGTCATGAAACTTGATCTGTACCAAGCGTCGTTGGTCTCTGTTTCTGTTTGGTTTCAGTTTTATTGATCAATACACGCGTACATTTTATATTGATTTTGTTAATTTTGATTTTGATTATGTTAATTGTGCATGCATTTGTATGCTATGGTAAGCATTTTTTAAAAAATAGAAATGTTGCACCCCCAAAAACAAGCAAGTGTTATATTACACCCCTACCTCCCTATAGTGGTCACCTCTCTACAATGGTCACTTTCCTCTGTCCACAAGGTGATCGTTGTGGAGAGGTTCGACTGTACTATCAATAATACACAAATGTACTTCCACCAGCAAAATCACTTCAAATTTGCATATTTGAAAATAATAACGTCTGTATAGACAGGTATACAGCACTTGAATACAGACTGAGTCAAGAACTTGTTCACAGCAATTGCACTACAGTGACAGAACTACTTGTAAACAAAGATAAAATCGAATGTTAATCAACTTAAAATTAAGTTAAGTTCAACAGAAAAGTCTCTTACCTTCTTGTGTGATAACCAATCATTTCAGGTTTCATTTCTGCTGCTCTTGAAAAGGATTCCAATGCTTCACTGTAAAGTTTTTCATCAAATAAACATTGTCCTTGAAGAAAGTACAGAAATGCTAATCTGGAATATGTTTGATCATTGTCTGGATCCAGTATACAGGCTTTCTTGAAGTTTAAAATCGCAGACTGAAAGTCACATATTTGCAAGTAACTTTCACCTCTTGCAATGTAGTTTTTGACCACTTCTGGTTTTAGAGAAATAGCTTTGTTAAATGATGTTATAGCCTGGTTATGGTCCTCCCAATCTGATAGTGTAACACCTTCATTAAAGCTGAAAAAAAACAAAACAGTGATGTTCAAAAATCACTTTAAAACTTGTACAAATGCTCTGCAATGTTTTACTTTGTTAACTATCAACTTAGTAGTTGATAAGGCAAAAAGCTGATGTTTCAAGCATTGGCCCCGTATATAGTCGCGTACATCCGAGCAATGCTTAGATATGCACTACACGGCCTGCAGACTGAGGTTCTTCTTTTACTATATTCATTTAATAAACCCCTTTTCCAAGGATCTAGTAATAATACAGACTAATTTAGCGAGTAAATAAGCGAAAGTGGAGTTTGAGGTCTCTTGTGCTTTCTGTGTAGCTCAGATGGTATTTTCTACAGATATTTCGTACATTCTTTATGTAATCTGCAGGGTTATAATTATGTTGCTACCTCTATCTTCATGTTAAGTTAGAAGTTCTAACAAGATGTCGGAACGCGACAAAGAACGTGCAGCCGCGACCAATTGCATTTCCAACGATTTCCAAAACACGCCAGGTTCATTAAATTCATTGAGAAATACTGAATCTGCTTAGCTGTGAGCACACTACTTACTGTTGTTCAGCTTTTGCATCTATCACAGTTTCTGTCGTCAGAACAACAACCGATTTTCGCCGGTAGTTTGAGTGTGGTGTGTTCGTAGTCGGAACCAGCTCTGCGAGTCGAAAAGAATTAACAATAGTCTTTCTTCTCCTTCGTATTTCTTTGGTGACTTCGCGACTAAGATGTGAAGGTTCATCTCCGCTGTTTTCGTCTGACTCCGAAGGATGCTCGACGAACTTTACAAGAGCTCTTTGAGGAGTCACCAGATCTCCTTCTTTCCCTTCATGGTCATCTTCATTTCCTTCTGATAGTTTAGCTGGTGTGTTACTTGACATTTGTTGTAGTCACGTGCTTTCAAGACGAAAATCAACCCTCCAAATTGATGTGTTCTCGCGGTACATTCAGACAACTTTTGCTCTTACCACGGACGCCATGTTTGTTTTGTTTCAATGGCAACGGACTGCCTTTATCGCTGGCTCAGGAGTGTTACTTAGTCCTTCGCGACCTTGAGAGTAAGGAAACTTTCAGGATTGGATGGGACTCCTGGAACCAGGTTGGCCTAATTGATCTGCAATAGCTGGTTTTCACATGACGTCACTAAAATTCGAACTACAAAACTATTGATCTTCCTGAGATTTTACTTAAATGATGTATAGGAGCATCAGAAAACTAATATCCATACAAATTTTCGCTCCGAATGGGCTCTTGGTTTTGTGATACACAACGCTTGAATTTCTAAGCTTTTGCGTGACGTGGCATTTACATGACGGCCT